TATATATCTATCTTATTATTATTATTATTATTATGTTTGAATATTAGCCTAATTTAACATAACCTACCTTCGTTATGCCAAACCAGCTCTTCTTCTTCCTTGACGCTTAGCTAGGGCGCAATCACTAGTAGGGAAAACTCTTTCACGCGATAATTGAATCGCACACCCGAGAGCTCCTCTGCGATATCTTCCTCTCTTCTCTTCCTTGTACATCGGCCTCGTCTCCTCTAACCACACGGAAACTCCTCCCTCTCGTCTTCCTTCACCACAGACAAGCAGCACGGCAGGAAAGGTAAGTCGTTCGATAATGTATAGTGTGAAATTTCACCTCCTTGGCTTCCCAACACTTCTAGCTTCTTCTCCCCCCTCATTCATTTACGTGACCCCTCCTTTCATCTTCTTTTATTCGATTGGCTGACCGTTCATTCCATTTTCCTCGATCCTTCGACTACTGTCCCCATTTGAAACGGAACTATTACATTTCTTCCTTCCTTTTCGCATAAACAGGGCTTCAACGGTACACGAAAGACTCTCCTCCTTCACACTGCAAGGCTAGGATTCGGCAGCCTCTCGCACCTCTTCTTCCTTCATGCAAGGAACTCTACACAAAGACTTCCTCTAAGCCAGAGCCCTTGGCATTGCCCTCTACAAATGTCGTCGAACTCCTACCTCCTCCTCCTCCTCCTCCTCCTCCTCCTCCTCTGACTCTCAATCTCTCTAACTCTCCTTCCTTTTTCTTTATCTTTGTCTCTCATTCGCTCTTATAGTCCTTCCCTCAGGTTCGAATGAAATGTTTGATACCTAAGAAGAATTCAATCGAGACAATAATTGGTTCGACTCATCATAGATCCAAATAAAATCAATTTTCTTTTATTTCTTTTTTTTATTTTGATTATTACAATGAGAACCAAAATAAATTTCAGCTCCCACCCCTCCCACATCATAAAATAACAAATCTCTTCCCAAGTCAAAGGAAAAATCGAAAAGCTACTAAAGCCTTGTCACTTGTGGGGAATAGTCATGGACGAGAGGAGGCATCTACCTTCTTATTAAAGTTTTACGCTTTAAATCAAGAAAAAAAATATATCTCATCCCCATCTACACGGAGGAGAACATGCGACTTTCTCAAAAGCAACCATCAATTGAAAACTGGTAAAACAAACTAAAAGAGTAAGTGAGCCACCAAAAAATTCTTAGATTTGCTCGAAGAGGTTCAATATAAATTATATAACATCTTTGATACTAAGAGTTTTATTTAAAATAGAATAAATCAGAGGTTATTCATCACCAGGTCAACACCTAGGAAACAAAAACAAAAAAAAAACAAAAAAAAAACAGAAAAATCACTTGTATTTGTGATTTTCTTATTTATCATGTGTTAATCTGGGGTTACATTTTTTGGAGGGTAAGGTATTTACACAAAAGGAATCTACATCTGTTGCAATATCGGAGTAAAAGTTTACTATGGCCAAAGCTTTGTTTATCGGCTCCATAAATTAAACTATCTTTACTGATCATATAAGTACAACCAAATTATTAAGTCATTGTGCTTTATAGCATACCTCTAAGAATTCATTTCGTTCTCTTGAAGGATCTCCACCCTGTAATAAAGAGGGCCAACGCCAAATGAAATTGATAACCAAAAAAATCATGCTGAGGCAACGGTTTAGTAAAAACATCTCCGAAGAAGTATTATCTTAAAAGGTAATGCACTTTAAAATGGAATACAAACCAAAAAGAAAAATCATATTCTCCATGTTATATCATCACTAGTTCTGATGACAAAACCATCAAAACCAAATAGTGAAAAAAATGAATTTCTTGCAGAGAATAGGTTAAGCAGAAAATAGAAAATAAACGGAACAACAAAGTAGACAAGGCAGAGAGTTAGTTATATATATATATATATATATAAGAGAAAGAAAGTATTGTGCCTTTCAATGCCCTCGAAATTTGTGCATCACTTTGCTGATTTGGTCTCACATCAAAAGACATAAAAGGTTGCTCCTAAACTTCTCCTAAATCCCATTTGTGATGTATTGGCTCGAAAATTATATCCAATTTGTGGCTAATCTTTGGAAGTACCCCATACATTCCTCTAAGGGAGTTGTGGCTTTCGAATATTTCGACTGCAGTGTCTCACGACATTGGTCATACATGCCTCTAAGAGTGTGCTGGTTAGGCCCAGCACTTCAGATATAGCCTCTCTTATGGGGATGGCGTCAGGAGGCTGCCGAATTGTTGCCACAATTTTGACATAATTGGGCATAACTCAAGCAAAGTTGATAAATCAAAATTTGGCACATATAGATAACATAAACCAAGCACAAAATTGGATAGTGAAAAGGGTTTACAATGAATTGGGTAGCTTATTTATAAGTAATAGTATGAATTGATCCCTCTTTTACAAACACAACAAGACTTGGTAGATTGTATTTGAGCACTAACAATCTCTTCTAATAAGCTCAAGAATTTTTTAAGCAATCAATTTAAAGTAGCGAACGTCAAATCTATAGCCTTACCTTAATTTTTTGTTGGTCCATTATGCGATTATTTAAGAATCAAGTTTTAATGTCCCGAAATACTTGCAAATATGATCTAATCATCATTGGATCGACAATCCCAAATGCACAAGCGGACAAAAGGCGTTAGTTACTTAAGGGCTTCAAGTTGAAAATTTGCACATGCTTAAGGAGATGCACTTCAATCTAAATATGTAGCTCTGAAAGACATACAAATTGCTCTTAAAATATGCAAGTTTCCAAAATATACTAAGTCCCTAAAGTTTAAACCAACCGCATGTGCTCAATCACTCGCCTCAAGTTTCTTAATCTTAAACGGCAGAGAATATTGGGTGGGTTAACTGCATATTTATGCTAAAACTGAATTTACTCTATGAAAATTCTATTTATAAAAGGCAGATTAAAAACTATTAAATCAAGCACAATCTCAAACTAGTCGTCTTTCCTACAGGGCAAGGTGGTAAGTCTCACACCTTAGTCCCATCCCTTTCCCTATGTGGAATGGAGTGGACAAGCCTGAACTCCCACTAAGCCACTCCAATTTGTCTCCTGATAGGGATTGTAGTTGACAAGACTAACCATTTTTAAATGTTTCAATGAACAAATTAAATTAAAGGCCAAAAAAAACATTCAAAATTCACAAAACTTAATAAAGTATGCTATCTTTGTGACTAATCTGCCCTAAATTGCATGGTGGGTTTTAAATACTTCGGTCATAATCGCTCGCAACATTGACCATACATGCCTCTAAGAGTGTAGTGGTTAGACTTGGTCTTCCCGATGTAGCCCCTCTCGTGGGGATGACGCCAGGAGGCCACCAAAATACTGCCATAATTTTGATATAATTGGGCATAACTCAAGCAAAATTGATAAATCCAAATTTGGCACATACACTAAAGATAGCATAAATCGAGCACATAATTAGATAGTGAAGGGGGTTTACAATAAATTGGGTGGCTCATTTATAAGTAATAGTATGACTTGATCGTTCTTTTACGAGCACAACAAGGCTTGTTAGCTTGTCTTTGAGCACTAACAATCTCTTCTAATAAACTCCAGAAATGTTTAAGCAATCAATTTAAAGTAGTGAGCATCATATCTATAGCCTTAACTTAATTTTTTGTTGGTCCATTATGAGACTATTTAAGAATCAAATTTTGATGTCCCAAAATAATTGCAAATATGACTTAATCGTCATCAGCTATGCGATCACAAGATGCACGAGCGGACAAAAAACGTTAAATAAGGGCTTCAAGTTGAAAATTTGCACATGCATAAGGAGATACACTTCAATCTAAATATGGAGCTCTTAAAGAAATACAAATCAATTTGAAAATATGCAAGTTTCTGAAATATACTCTCAAGTCCCTAAAGTTTAAACCACCCGCATGTGCTCAATTGCTCGCCTCAAGTATCTTAATCTTAAATGTCTGAAAATATTATGTGGGTTAACTGCATATTTAGGCTAAAATTGATATTACTTTGAGAAATGTACATGTGTTTTAAAACTCTACGAAAATCTATTTATAAAGACAAATTAAAAACTATTATATCAAGCACAATCTCAAATGGGTCGTCTTTCGTACAGGGCAAGTTGTTAAGCCTCAAGCCTTACTCCCATCCCTTAAGTGGACCAGAGTGGACAAGATTGAGCTCCCACTAAGCCACTCCAATTTCCCTCCTAATAGGGATTGTAGATGTAAAAAATAACCATTTTTCAATTAAATGAACAAATTCAAATAAAGGCCAAAAATAAACATTCCATCCCGACTCCTCCATGATAGAGGTGTTTATCCTGAATTTCAACCGGAGGGGTCTATCTATGAATTTAACATTTCAAATCAAAAATCTAAGAAGAATATTTAAATGGCATTTAAAAATCATTAAACACTATAAATTAAAAAAAAATCATCGACCTTCCGCAATCGTTTGTTGGTGTGGACAAATGTAATGTTTACCTAAGATGACATAGAGTCAAATGTCAAATCAATTATAATATTAAATTCAAACTCAAAAATAATTGTGTCGGTAAGGATGTGGCAAGCATCCTTTGTCCACGTGGTTTGTTCAATAAACTCCGCATAATAAGCTATTACGACCAAAGCCTTCTGATTGGATGGCTTAGCCAGTAGGCTCCATCAAGTGGTTTGACCAGTAAGCTCCACTATAAAACGATCGCGGTTGTAGCTCATATGTTTCTCAATGATACTTTGCCCTTTTGAGTTGTGACTCATATGGCATATTTGATAGGCAGGGTTTTCTTAGACAAAGCAACCCATAGTTGTTGACAAGAATCATTCTATCAGGTTGGACTGACTACCTCCTCTGACTAAATAGATCAGAGACCAAGATGACCCGAAATGAAGAAATCATGTAATCTTGATCGAGCGCGTCATTATTTCCCCCACCATGGTACCATACGCTCTTAAGCTCACGGTGATGATTTTATAAACTTTAAATCTTAAATTTGTTGTTATGATATGCTAAGCAATCAGCTTCCTAATTACTAGCCTTAATCAAAAGTGTTCTTCTGTCATCGAAGGGGATAATAAATCATAGAGGTTTGTGCCTATGAGAAACCTCGAATATCTTAAAGTCCTCGTAAAATGAGTGTGAAATCTTTGGGTGATCTCGTATCTACTATCTCATCTGCCTTCTAAAAATTCAACCAATAACAACATGGTAAACTTCCCTCATTTATTTCTTTTTCGAGGGAGGCTGGGACCATCTTGAATTTTCAGAGCGGCACTAATCTTAGAGATATATGAAAGAGAGATCTAGTTACAAAGTTTCATATGTGAGTAATACAAGAATTGGAGATATGAAAGTGTAACATATTCAACCAAAACAAACTATCAATGTACGAAAGAGTTTTGACAAACATGTATATACTCAAAAGAATGATATAGTAATTTGCCTTGCCCCGTCTAAAAAATAAACAATTAGTAAATTTATTTTTTAGTTGATCTTTTACTTCATATTTAGGAAAGCCTTAAGCTATAATGGTCATTTTTCCAATCATTTTAGCATTTATGCATCTATAAAGCAAGCAGTTTCCGTTCCATCAACATTCTCATTTAACAAAACAGTCTAGTCATTGAATTCATCCCGTTATATGATTAAGCGAATAAAAATTTTATTTTCAGTTAATTATCCCTTCATATTGACGTATTTATATGTACTTTCGTCATTCCCTTTTATTTTCTTCTCTTTTCACCTTTTTGTGTGCGTGACGTCACCACAGATTATAACTTCTCGTAGAAAATTTTGGATATAGGTATATTCCAATCATCACAATAGTGAAAACAGCATAGAATCACAGATTAGGGTTCAAAAATTCTAAGCATAAAACTACAAAGTACATTATGTATTAATATGAAAACCAAAATCATCACATAGGAACATAAAAATCAATAAGAAGATGAAAAAAACAATGATTCATGAATGCTCAACGTCCCCCCAGTTCTAAAATGGTGACAAAATGATTCAATTAGCACGGCAACATTCGAAATCCTTACCCCGAAGAACTTGAGAAGGGGGCAGAGAACTGATAAAAAACTATTTGACGTGCTGCTTGCATTTTCAGATCCAGCGAGTTTATTGTCTGCAATTTGGTAACTTTCGGTGGTGTCTGACTCCTTTCTTGCTGATTTCAAAAGAATTCTGCGTCTGTGTTGTGAGTGCTTCCTATCCATCGAAGCTAAAAGGGCGGAGTGGATTTTTGAAGCTGGGATGGATGTTTTGGTACGGAGAGGAACATCTGAGAGTTGGAAAGGCTGAGCCCATGAAATCGCACACATGATTTCTACTTGTTCTCTTTTCCCCGTATCGCCACCAAGAACTGGTTCGCAGCAGACACGGCGTAGGGGTCGCCCCAAACACCTGATTTCTACTTGTAAAATTTGCGTGGATATGCGGACGATAGGTAGGGCTGTAAATGAACTAATGCAATCGGCGAATAACATGAAATCGTCTCGATTTAAACTTTCTCATTCAAATTTAAATAATAAATAATAAATTTTAAAAATTTAAAGAATTAAATATAAAAACAATCGAATTTATTCATATGTTCATAAAAAATTTATTTATTATTCAATAAATCTCTTGTTAAATACTTGATATTAAACTCAAATATAGCTCATATTATATATAAAGTATTATTTAAATAAAATTTGATTGGTTAGAATTTATTTAATTATATAGTTAATAGTAATACATTATTATATGAATAACATCTTTAGATCAAGTATTAATTATACATTTTTTTTATCATTAATTATGCACCACCCTTCCCCGCCCTTATATAAATAACATCTTTAGATTAATTATTAAATATACATTTTCTTTATTATTAATTATGCCCCCCCCCCCCCCCAAAAAAAAAAA